AATTGTGTCTTTATTATCATATAAGTTTTCGTGACACTTGGTTTCCATGACTATATTGTATTTCTTTGGGAATAATATCAATGAGAGCTTTAATTAGCAGTATCTCTGTTTCCATTTTTATTGTAATGACTGAGGGATTCTATTTTAACTGCTTTACTTGGTACAGTTGAAAAGCAAATAAGTTTAGAATGTATTTATTTAAAAAGCTGTGGTTTGCTTCCCTCTGTTTTCTAAATAAACCTGAATTAATTGAAGAGAATGGAAATTTTAGTAAATGTGATTGATATTTGTTGTACTGTTGTCTTCACATTTAGCTGTAAAATGATAAATGCCATTAAATCCACTACATTTTTCTGAATACATTTATTAGCATTAATATATGCCAGTGGAGTCTCAGAAGCTTTAGCTACAGGTACAGTTAAGCATTTGTGTGTTTTTCGTGAATAGTAGAAGCAGTGACATTAAGCATATGAAGGAATCCCTATAGTTATAAATATTTACAAATATTTATTTTGGCAAGAGCCCCTTATTCAGATGTTCCCTGCTGCACTCTTACTAATACAGTATCCATATTTTTCACAGTACACTCTTCAAATTACGATATGTTCTGGAATTATTCCTAAGGTAGGGGCTTGCCCTTGCCGTATAATTTTATTTTTTTGCAAATATTTAATTTTTCTTACTTTGCAAGAAAAACATACTTTTAAGCGAACTGTGCAATTAACATATAAGCATTGCAGAATTGCAGTTGGTAGACTTGCCTGCAACAGAGTTTGGCGATAGTGTCTCCTACTGTTTTATAAAGGTATAAGAGAGAGTTCTTACTAGGATAACTAACAAGCCTTAACAAATCCACCTAAATATTTATTCGCATATGTAGAATTATATTTCAAAAGTAGTTACTCTGGGCAATATATGCCTGCTTTCTGTGCTATCACACTGCCAGTAGGAAAAGAAGGAAGTCTCTATTTGCAATGTAGGAAAAATCCCAATATAGACACAGCAGAAAAGTGGGTTCTGCATTTGTCATTATTGCCAGAGTCTACAGGAGACCTCATTTCACTTTGTCCTAACAACATGATCTAGAATGCTGTCTCTTCTCTTCAATAAGACAGGCTTTTTTTCATTTCTTTTCTCTGAAAAGATTCATAATCTATAGCGAGTATACTCGTGGGTTGGAACTCCAGCAGAAACAATACATCTTTAATGAAATTTTTAGAAGAAATCCGGTACAAATCTGTCTTCACTTCTTTTCTTCTTCATTTACATTTCACTACAAATGTTAATGAAAAAACAATTCCTTCTAAAACATCAGTGTATTTAAGCCATTCCAGGAAGCATAACATAAGCCCAGCAGACTGCAGGTGGTGGTGGGGGGGGGGGGAAAGGCTCCTGATTTCATTTAAAAAAAAAAAAAAACCCAAACCTTTTTAAACAAATTGTGCAAAAATTATTTTTCATTTGCATACTTTCTGGGGCTAGGTTATAGCCACCGTGTGGTGGACTTGTTGTAAGTCTGTAATGATATTTTTTTTCTCCCAACAGAAAAGTGTTAGTGGATGCTGCTACTTAATTAAAAAACAAAAAACAGGCATCTGGAGGTTTTATTTTTGTATGTGGTTAAATCCTGAATTGCTCTCAGTTGTTCAAGTGGGTTGAACTAGAACATTTTGAATAGACCACGGTATTTGCGATGAATGTAATTGTAAGCAGTTGTGCATTATTTAGTACTTAATGTGCTTAAAATTTTAGCAAAAAATGATAGAGGAATGTTTAAAACTCTGAGTAGTTAGCCAGTTAGATTGCAGCATATGCAGGCATTACTCCTTTCTTTCCACATGCTTGTATAGAATTTTATAATAACTTTATTTATAATGTGCCCCTTACAGAAGTGCATTTGCTGAAAATCTTAATGGCACCACTTAAAAAAACCAAAAGCTAGCTATCAAAAACTTTAACAAATAAAAACAGATGGCAAAAAAAAAGGGGGGGGGAAGCAATAAATGCAGGGCCACAGTAGCAAAAACATATTTTATAAATAAGCAAAACATCTTTGGATTTTAAGAAGGTATAAGATACTTTCCAAAACTGGAGAGAGATGGAGTGAGTTTTTTTTCTTGAGGGGGAGGCAAGTTAGAAATCCATACCTTAGCAGCTACCACAGCTCTGGCCCAATCCCCTCCCAGTTAAGACAGGGTGGTGGGAAGTTTTGACAGTGGGTGGTATCTGAGCACAGATACCCATTAAGTCAAGGCTGAAGGAAGAAATCTCAACTATCGCCAGGGTCTACTAAGAGTTTTAAAAGTCAACAGTGCCAATTTAAAATCAATCTGCTAGTTTATAAGCTGCCAAGGTAAAGAATGCAAGGCGGGCGTAATGTGATTATGGTAACTCAAGCCAGTGAGCGAACGTGTTCCTGTACTCTGTGTAATCTGCGGCATAATAATATGCGTAACTGAACTACGCAGAACATTTCATCTTGACACACAGGATGCAAATGAAATCTGGAAGCATTGTAGGAGTGATGATAACCCATATATTTAGGTGGAGCTTCTTTTTTAAAGAGCTCCAATATCTCCAGGATTTACGGTGGGAACTTGAAATTTGGCAGGAGACTAGTACTGTTATGAGGAAGGTGCCTTTTTGTGGCCCCATGGAAAACCATTCTCATGTGGCCAAGTTATTTGCTACTAAAAATTGTCATTTCTCATCTGTTTTTTTGCTCAGTGCAGTTGGCTCCTGGCTTGCCATTACAACACTGAACATTATGTTAGCACTGTGCATTCACCCACCCGGGTGTGCTAGCAGACAAAATGGATTCTCATCCTACTGCTGACCCACTCATGTCCCATGAAAATACCATTTGGCCTAGGAGATGGTGCACTGGGGTGGGACTTTGTATGTGATGGTGGGCAAATCACTTAAATCAAAACTTTCACAAATGGTCACTAATTGTGTGTTCCTCATCTTCTAGCTGTCCAAATTTAAACACCTGATTTTCAGAAGTGTTAAGCACTCACAGTGAGAAATGAAATCAGTGGGAGCTGTGGATGTCAGACCCTCTGGGAGTAAGGTTGTGTGGTATGGAATGCAGGGATTCAGGAGGCCCTCTGTGCTAATGCTGGCTTTGCTATCGGATATGTCTACACTGCTAAAACAACCTCTGTAGCTGGTCAGTGCCAGCCAGCTCTGGCTCTCGCTGCAGGGCTTTCAATGCGGTATAGACTTCCAGGCTCAGGTTGCTGCCCAACTCACTGGGCTGCATGGCAAAACCTGGACAGGGCTAAACCGTGTGCTCTGAACATTTCTCTGGAACTGGTTGCAAATGCAGGGACTAGGGGATTGTTTGGCAAGTTGTGTATGTGTTAAAGGAGTCCATCAGCAGAAGGCATGAGAAGCAGTTGTGAGCAGAGAGACAGAGCTCCTTGGGCATAGACCTGACTGGAAGGGCAGACTTGGAAACAGAGAGTAAGAAGCTGCCTGCTCTTGTTTGTTTCTACTGTGCAGGGAAAACAGTGTACAGTCTTTGTAACTAAACAGGAGTGCACCAAACAATACACCTGACTCATCTCATCTCTCTCCTCATTGAAACAGCCTGGCAAGGCCCTGGATATTGGCTAACCACTTGAGTCAAAGGGTGGGGTAACAGGATTTAACGTCCTCCCTCACAGGGGAGTTGTGAGGATTAATTACGTAATATCTGTACAGTATTTTGAACATGTGAAGGGCTATTTAAAAACACTAAAAAAAAAAATCAGGTCTTAGTGTCTCAAGATGGGCACCCAAAATTAGTGGAGATTTTTGCAGATTTTGGCCTTCATCTCCCTGAATCTCAGTTCTTCTTTTGTCAAAACTCTATCTACCTCTGAGGGGTGTTGCCAGGATGAGTTTGAATTCATTGGGCTCAGACAACTTTTATTCTGGCACTTTACTAATTTGTGAGGGTCTCATTTTGTAACCTCAAAAATATTTTCTTAATATAGTCGTGGGTTTTTGGTTGTAATAATTTTCTTATAAAGCATTTCAATTGATCAAGAATATTTACAAATGCACATGTTAGTTTAAAATACACAATAGCTATACAGTACTCAGGCCCAGCCTAAACTAGGCAATTTTTTTCACCAGTGAAATTACATTGATTTTGGTTACCCTTGTGCAAGCCTGTAATGTAGATGTGCACACCCATAATGCAGATGTGCTGCACCAGCACAAAACTGGGGTTTCATCAGTGCATGTTACTTCAGTATGCACTGATGTAAGCTAAACTTTGTACCAGTAGTGGTTTGTTGGTTTGATTTACCTAAACATACATAGGGCCTCAGTTAAGAAATGTTTATTCATGTATCCTTAGGGCATGATTCCAAAGGGAATTCTTTAAAAATGATTGTGACAACCTGACACAAGTGAGAATCTGCTGCAATGCCTGAAATTGACCAGTCTGTGAGCACAGTTGTTTTAGCCTCGTGTGGATGGTGGTGCAGATGCATGCCACACCATTGGGAGATCCCAGGAGCTTTTGAGATTGGCTTAGACAAAAAATACCTTTCTGGAGCTCTGGTGGCTCTGATCGTTGTCTGTCCTTCCATGTAGAACAAACTGTGGATTGAGGAGCATAGCCCCACACCTTTTGGAGAAGTTAGTGCTATTTAAACAATAGGTCCATGTGCTCACTAAGTACAGGAGCTCTGATTGTAACCAGCTCCTGCACAGGGCCACAAAGGATAAGCCAGAGTCGTCTTGTACCACATCCCCGAAGAGGTTAGCCATAACATAGCATGTGCTCTCTCTTAAATTTGGAATGAGGATGAGTGGAGTGACATGCCCATCCTAATGCAGGAATCATTTGCACAAGGAGAAATGCTCTTTCATTGTTTTGTTAAATGTATTCAAACACATCAGCATCCAGTTATAATAGTTCCTGTTTGGCGCCTTGTGGTATGAAGGCTTTGGGTGGTCAGACTACGTGCATTCACTTCTTTTTTCCTTTCATGTCTCAACAGCAGCAACAGGAAATGCTAGCAATGAAACATCAGCAGGAGCTCTTGGAGCACCAGAGAAAGTTGGAGCAACATCGACAGGAACAAGAGCTGGAGAAGCAGCATAGAGAACAGAAACTACAACAGCTAAAAAACAAAGAGAAAGGAAAAGAAAGTAAGTAACAGCAAGATAGTTTATTTCAGTGATGGAGTTTACAGTAGGTGAATAGAAGCCATGGGCACTGGTAACTCTGTTTTACGCTGTGGTTGTACAAAGGTAGTTTACAATGCTTATGAAACATCCGTGGTTCTCTGCATACGGAGACTTGTTGCATGAAATTCTCATGTTAACTGTGAGAAGGGATTGAGGATAAAGAAAAGATGAAACTGTATCTGAACTCTCAATTTTGTTTTTTATATACGTAAAATAAAGTATCTTAATTCTGAAAGTATTTCTTTATACCTTACAAAGTATGGTTTGCTCTTGTGTATGTGATAGTACCCAAGGAAAAGTGTGCAACAAGATGCAGTAAAATTATCATCACATAAGAATGGCCATAGTGGGTCAGATCTACGATCCATCTAGCCCAGTATCCTGTCTTCTGACAGAGGGAATGAAGAGAACAGGGAAATTGAGTGATCCATCCCCTGTTGTCCAGTCCCAGCTTCTGGCAGTCAGATGTTTAGGGACATACATAGCATGGGGTTGCATCTCTGTCCAGGTTGGCTAATAGCCATTGATGGACCTATTTTCCATCTGATTCTCTCCTGATTCTTTTTTGAACCCAATTACACTTTTGGCCTTCACGTCTCCTGGTAATGATTTCCACAGGTTAACTGAGTGTTGTGTGAAGTACTTCCTTTTGTTTGTTTTAAATCTGTTGCCTATTAATTTCATTGGGTGGCTCCTGCTTCTTGTCTTATGTAAAGGAGAAAATACTTTCTCCACATTTTTCATGATTTTATAGACCTCTATCACATCTCTTCTTAGTTAATGTCTTTTCCAAGCTGAACAGTCCCAGTTTTTTTAATTCTCTCCTCATATGTAAGCTGTTCCATACCACTAATAATTTTTGTTGCCCTTCTCTGTACTTTTTCCAATTCTGATATATCTTTTTTGAGACAGGGGGACCAAAACTGCATAAGGTATTCAAGGTATGGATGTACCATGGCTTTATATAGTGGCATTATGATATTTTCTGTCTTATCTACCCTTTACTAATGGTTCCTACATTCTGTTAGCTTTTTTGACTGCCACTGCAGACTGAGTGGATGGTTTCAGAGAAATATCCACAATGACTCCATGGTCTTTCTTGAGTGGTAACAGCTCATTTAGCCCCATCCTTTTGTAGGTGTAGTTGGGATTGTTTTCAAGTGTGCATTACTTTGTATTTGGCATTAGGACCACACAAATCCCACATCAGACATTTCAGTTGCTCATTCTGTTCCTTACTGCACATGAATTTGAAGCATGTGAGAGGTGTTCAGTAAGCAGCATTGAAGGTTGAACTCCACTAACCCCAGAACATAGATCTCACAAGCAACAGCACCGCAAGCTCCCCTCCCAATGTTTCTCAGTCCTGCCCTGGAAAGACCACCTCTAGTGCTTAAAGCAGGGGCGGGCACATTTTTTAGCCTGAGAGACGCATCGGGTTTCGTAAATTGTATGGAGGGCCTGTTAGGGGAGGGGGTTGTGGCCCAGCCCGCACCTCTTATCTCCCCCACTCCCCCCCCGGACCC